CTAAAACCATTGAGCATAAAATCATTTATATTCCTTTTGCCTCCCGTCTTTGGAACCAACTTCTTACTTACTGTTTTCTGTATCCCCAGATATAAGGTCATCAATGCACTATAATGATAGGCCATACTTTACTCATTCGGCCGACTATTATTGTTTTTATATATTATTAATACAGTGTGTTTGAAATACTGGATAATTGGGTATTATTTTCTTAACAGTGACTACAACACCAACGATCACCACTACGTCACCTTTGAGCACTACAAAGCAAACCACAGGTAAGCGATATGCCTATAGACCCTTCAGTAAAGGTTTAAATCTTCTATAGGAATTAATGAGTTCATCGAAGCTCGAAATCCAGTATACCAAGAAGTACCATTTTGATTATAAATTGCGCTTGACTTTTACCGAAACTAAATAATGATAAGTCATACTTTAATTCAATAAGTTTTAGTAAATTATTTATAGGCCAAGTTATTTGCAGTCACTCTATATCAAATGTCTAAAACCATTGAGCATAAAATCATTTATATTCCTTTTGCCTCCCGTCTTTGGAAACAACTTCTTCCTTACTGTTTTCTGTCTCCCTCAGATATAAGGTCATCAATGCAATATAATGATAGGCCATACTTTACTCATTCGGCCGACTATTGTTGTTTTTATATATTATTAATAGAGTGTGTTTAAAATACTGGATAATTGGGTATTATTTTCTTAACAGCGACTACAACACCAACGATCACCACTACGCCACCTTTGAGCACAACAACGCAAACCACAGGTAAGTGTGCCTATAGACCCTTCAGTAAAGGTTTAAATCTTCTATAGGAATTTATAAGTACATCGAAGCTCGAAATCCAGTACATATACCAAGAAGTACCATTTTGATTATAATTGCGCTTGACTTTTACCGAAACTAAATAATGATAAGTCATACTTTAATTCAGTAAGTTTTAGTAAATTATTTATAGGCCAAGTTATTTGCAGTCAGTCTATATCAAATGTCTAAAACCATTGAGCATAAAATCATTTATATTCCTTTTGCCTCCCGTCTTTGGAAACAACTTCTCACATACCGTTTTCTTTCTCCCCAGATATAAGGTCATCAATGCACTAATGATAGGCCATACTTTACTCATTCGGCCGACTATTATTGTTTTTATTTATTATTAATACAGTGTGTTTGAAATACTGGATAATTGGGTATTATTTTCTTAACAGCGACTACAACACCAACGATTACCACTACGTCACCTTTGAGCACTACAAAGCAAACCACAGGTAAGCGATATGCCTATAGACCCTTCAGTAAAGGTTTAAATCTTCTATAGGAATTTATGAGTTCATCGAAGCTCGAAATCCAGTACATACACCAAGAAGTACCATTTTGATTATAAATTGCGCTTGACTTTTACCGAAACTAAATAATGATAAGTCATACTTTCATTCAGTAAGTTTTAGTAAATTATTTATAGGCCAAGTTATTTGCAGTCAGTCTATATCATATGTCTAAAACCATTGAGCATAAAATCATTTATATTCTTTTTGCCTCCCGTCTTTGGAACCAACTTCTTCCTTAATGTTTTCTGTCTCCCTCAGATATAAGGTCATCAATGCAATATAATGATAGGCCATACTTTATCATTCGGCCAAATATCATTGTTTTTATGTATTATTAATAGAGTGCGTGTTTGAAATACTGGATAATTGGGTATTATTTTCTTAACAGCGACTACAACACCAACGATCACCACTACGTCACCTTTGAGCACTACAAAGCAAACCACAGGTAAGCGATATGCCTATAGACCCTTCAGTAAAGGTTTACATCTTCTATAGGAATTTATGAGTTTATCGAAGCTCGAAATCCAGTATACCAAGAAGTACCGTTTTGATTATAATTACGCTTGACTTTTACCGAAACTAAATAATGATAAGTCATACTTTAATTCAGTAAGTTTTAGTAAATTATTTGTAGGCCAAGTTATTTGCAGTCACTCTATATCAAATGTCTAAAACCATTGAGCATAAAATCATTTATATTTCTTTTGCCTCCCGTCCTTGGAAACAACTTCTTCCTTACTGTTTTCTGTCTCCCTCATATATAAGGTCATCAATGCACTATAATGATAGGCCATACTTTACTCATTCGGCCGACTATTATTGTTCACACGAGAGCCCTAGTATCCCGATCGGGAGCTAACCGTTAGAGCTAACCGTTAGCACCCGTGTGAGAACGCCCGATTGGTTAGCGCTAACCGTTAGCGGTATCCGGATACCGCTAACGGTTAGCAAGCGCTATCGGTTAGCA